CTAGATATTTTTACTTGCATACTGCAGGAGGGAAATTAGTGATTCACCTGAATGTGAGTTCTTAGGTTGGTTTTGGATGTCCTGGACGTTGACAACAATTTTGTTTTTGTTTTTTTTATTGCAAAGCAGACATCTGTACACTTATTTTTTTTATCTGAGGATTCAACAAGTTTCATAATCTCTGAAGATAAGGCCACGGTGTGGTAGCGACAGTTGTCTGCTCTTCTCGCTCTGCTCCTGTCTCCACCTCCATCCTGAGTGTGTGGCTCTGTGTGTCTGTGTGTGTCTGTGTGTGTCATTCATTGAGTTCCACTGCAGTACGCATGCGCATGCTTCGGTAGATACACACAGAAGAGGCAGAATAGAGGCTCATGCGTGAATGTCCAACGAATAACTCTGATTGTTATTTCAAAATAGAAAACCTGGTCTCATTTCTTAGTTATGCCCTGGATTTTGTAGCGTTTGTGGACGCTACGTTGCTACTTGATCAAAGCAATAACGTCACTACAGGAAAGTTACTTGATAAATAAAGCAGCGACGCTACGGTCAAGCTACTGGAACATGTAGTTAAACTAATAGCTTCGCTACATGTAGCGGCGCTACTGCCCATCACTGCTTTTTATGCAGGCTGGGTGCCTGTGGGTGCATTGCTGCCCCCCTCAGGACACTGGCTTGTGACATTTCATGGGCATTACACTGCTAAATCGTAAAATAGCTTAAGTATGACAGCGCTATTAAAAACATTCAACTATGAGAAGACTGAAGCATCGGCCACAGATTTAGATCACTGTCTAATTCTTACCCGAGATTATCTTTATGTAATCTACAACATTAGGGGTTCTTGTTGTTTTGTTTCTACACGTTAAGGGAAATGTTTTTCTTTTTACATGAGGGATTAAGCACAGCAACAGGCAGAACAGGCTGTATATCTCTGCTCAAATCCCAGTAGACATGCCATAAGAAAACGTTCTCTGGTAAACTGCTGTAAGCCCCCTTTGTGTTGCACTTTGCCCAAAACACCAAACCAACCAGGAGGCCGTTGGAGCACTCAAGCCACAGAAGGTTGAATCCGAGGTATGCAGGTAGTCCAAAGCCAAAGATCATACAACAAGCAGACATCACCAGATGTGGCGTCCAGAAAAATAAAAATCTCAGCAGTTTTGTTAACCATAATGAAAGGTTCATTAGCCTGTTATCCAGATGTTCCTCTAGTCTGGCATTTATTAACGGTTTGGGATTCCAGATTGATATTAAGAACAGGTCACTTCCCACGTTCCTCTGTTTCTCCCGAGCTTCAAGCGACTCGTCAACTTCTCTCACCCACTGAGGTGCTCTTAACCAAAATGGCACCAGCGTTAGGAGGCTTAAAGTGAAAAGTCCCAAAATAAAGGCTGAAATTAGGCTTGACTCTGTCACTTCACAGACAAGCACCTTCCCCGTCATAGATTCCAGTTCCACAGGCTCAACATAACTGGAATGAAAGGAGTAATTAACAGCAACTACCCAAACCAGCAGTGTCAGGATGACATTCCTGAGTGTTTTCCAGAAAACTGAATGGTTGCTCATTAATATGTCGTCTAAGCAGTAGTCCACAAAGCCCAGGAGCATAATGGGGAGTGGCAGAGCTCCATAAGCTGTTGAGGCATTGGCCAAGAGGAAGCAGGGTGAGGCTAGAGACTTCTCAGCTCCAAGGACCAAGGCAGCTCCCATTAAACATGCAAGAAGAAAATCAGCCAGGACAATAGACAGGCCAAAGACACTCAGGAAGTATTTATACTTTTTGGGGTTGCATGCATATAAAACTACTGTTTCCAGTCCAAACTTGATGAACAAAAGCAGGAAGTACATCTTAGTGTTGTCTGTGTGTTGGTCAGATGATTTGTCCCACTCCTCTAGGATGGCCAACAATCTCCCAGTTTGACTGTTCTCCAAAGACGAGGACATAGCTGGCAGCATTGTTGTGCAGAGTTTGGAATAATGTTGCTCCAACGAAACCTGTAGAAGAAAAGAGGGATTACTTGGAGACCTTTCTCATGAATTTAGGGCTCGATCAGAATATAGCAGAAATGTGTCAGCACTAGCAATAATAAGTACTGTCCAAATAGTGCTGTTAGTAAGAAAAGACATTTAACCATGTTTCATGGTATAATAATAATAACTCCTCGAGCATTTATTCTTATTCATTAAAAATACTTGAAAATTTTGGAATAAAGTTTAAATAATGTTGAAAAACCCTGTATCTATATCCAGAGCTATGCCAACAGTGGGGAAAATAGAGCCCCCCCCTCTAAGGGAACTGGGACAAGGGGTTTGGAAAATGGAAGAAAACATATCATTTTCTAAATGAGGAGCTTAAATCGAACCTAGATAGTGTCCTGAACAAATATTTCTATTCCACTGTATCAAACACTTTCTTAGCATCGAGAGAGAAAGTGACCACAGGCTCAGCGCTATTCCTTATTTGCGAGATTAAATGAAGTAACCCGGAAAATTATCTGCTCATTACCTACCTTGAATGAAAGCAACTTGGTCTGAAGACTGAGATGATGATCCCAGTCTTAAGGCCAGTGTCATGGCCAATATTCTAACATCTACATTTATTAGAGACACGAGTCGATAGCTTCCACATTGCTATGCATTTTAGCCTTTTTTAGCCTTTGCATTTTTGGACCTTGAAGGATCCAGTCCAGATAGACTGGGTCCCTGGAGGATGCAGCCTTTAAAATCAAACGCTCCCTATATCTTCTAAATATCCTGTACCCTGTGATAAATACAATTTTTGATAAAATACCTAAAATGTATGATTGGTCTCCCCTCTATCTGTCAATAAGGTGTCTTTTTCATTCTCCAGAGGTTATCGAAGTGCAATTGTACTGTTGTTTTCCCTCTGGGCCAGAAATCTCTGTTTCACTTCACCTTGCTCGTAGTACCTCTGTATATACTGTAATAAAGTTATGTTCCAATGTCCGTTTGTTTAATTGTTTAAACACTGCTGGATCTAATTGCTTAGAAACTAGGTCATCTGCGTGTGTGTTGAAGTATATATGCCCCCATCCCTACTGCAGACAAAATTGTAGGTGACCACAGACAGTGTCGCAGACAGGAGGCCTCTGATTGGTCAAATCTACATCTGCTCTACACTATGCGTATTTCCTGTTTGGTACCTTGCTGGCTTGTTTTGTTTGTATGACCACCATTGTGGAAAAGGACTTGTGAAGTTGGACGAGTTAGAAGGACGAGGTGGGCAAGAACGCTGGGACCCTTTTCCACCTGGATCCCAGCTCTTTTCCGCCCGCATCTCCCTCCGTTGTCTCACAAACTTGTGTTTTTCCACTTCCTCACCGCCTCGGCCGTGTCTAGACAACACCTAGTTTGTGATTGTACCTCTTGACTTGTGCCATTGAATAACATAGCACAGACCACGCTTCAAAATTGGGCATATATCAAAAATATCTGCGACAAGCTCACTGTGGCACACTGCTGCCAGACCACATGAGGACAGATTGATGAATAGATTATGAATAGAGAATAGACAGATCTTTTATGGAAAGGAATCTGATTGCACATTGAAAGTAAGGTATATTTTTTTACCCGTCTTAGAATTTCTGATTTTGTTAAGGACCCATTAAGTGTATGGTGTTTGAGAAAACATGGGCAATTAGGTCATTTAACACACATATTCTTGTGTTGTCTGGTTATACAAAAATACTAGAATGATATTAAAATGGAGTATGAGAAGTTTGGAGAATGGCATTTCCATTAAATCATTTGCTTTTTTATTGGGGTTAGTCAAACCAGGATTTGAATGCAAATTAAAGATATATTATACACATTTTAGTATTACTTGCAAAATAACTAATTACAGTGAAAATGCTTTTATGATGTCCAAATTTTCCATCATACATCAGATCTCATTTACTTTTTCTTGATGAACAAATATTCTATTTGTTTGTTTTTAGGAATGCAATGGCAGTTAAGCTGATGAAGATTCTCAGTCATCCAGGTCATAGTCATTCCGTAAAAGTTCAAAAAAATATCCACTGGACTTGGTTTCCAAGATTTGAAGACGTTTCGCCACCTCTCCAGGAAGCTTTCTCAATTCAAATGTCTGGATCTGCAGTGAGTTTGAGTCTTACTGTATATAGACTGAGTGAGTTCCTTATATAGACTTATATAGACAAGGCCTTGTATTGCTTGGAAAACATGCAAATGTTTTCCAAGCAAACTCATCGGTTACCATTTGCATGCATTGGTTACCATTTCCATGTTTCAAAGAAACATGGAAATCCTTTTTCTAATTCATGCCCATTTTTGTATCTAAGTGTTGTTATTTGTGTCTTAATACTCTGGTTGCAAGCGATGTGGAGCTGCCGTTATGGTGCTGTAAATATGTTAATCGAATAATTTGGATTGGGCTGATCTTTGGGATTAATGTTTGGTTCTTGCCCAGGTAAAAAAAAAATAAAAATACGTCTTCGATATTTGTTTTTCCAAAGATGAGAACTGAAAATGTAAAATAAACTGAGCTAATAAATAGTAGAAACCGCTGGTTGCTGCTTGGTAGGAATAAAAATTAAAAGAATGATTGAAAACTCCTTTTAAGGCTGTAAATCTATGGTGTTTAGGTCAATCTATTTCTGTAGTTGAGTTTTTTTTTTATTGATTATAATTTTAAATCGTCCAAGAATCCATGTATGTCATAGATTTGTAGCTATAAATTCATTTAAGTCCAAAATGAATAAAACACTGGTTAATTTCCAGCTCTGTGCTCTGTGGCTTATTCATATTGATGGTGAGATGAAGCCTCATGAGGCATTTAACCTTGTGGCCTCGAATAACTAATTTCAAAGCTTCATGTGAACATGACACCATTGACTGGTGGAGTGCATAACTATAAGTAGCAATATGATCTGTGATGTTTGCATTTTTTTTTTTTTTTGTTCATTTGTTTTTTTTAAGTCCCTTTTAAATGTTCATTATTGATGTGTATAACATATTTTGTGAGCTTTTGCGTGTAAATTGTCTTTGAAAATAACAATCTTTTAAGGTACACTTTTTTCTGTCATTTTAGTGACATAAGCTCAAGCAGACAGTGAAAGTGCTTTTGCAAATTGAGCAATGATGAGCAAAATGAAATGTGTTAGTACTTTTTATTCAAAAATAATAGATTTTCCACAGTTTTTGGTTTTATTCTGGTTCGAAGTTATGTGTCCAACCAAATCTTTTGGTTAAGACAACAAATATAATTTGTTAGTGTTTTTACCCAATCCATATTGGTAAAAGGGTAAACCTATACAGATTGGTCACTTAAACCAAAAACTGGTTATTGTAGTATAGCAACTTTTGTAGTATAGCAACTTTCGAAAGTGGGTAGCCAATTTTCCGAATCTACAGATTACAATCCTTGTTAAAGATTTAGATTTAACATTATTTACCAAAAAGGGATTAGCATCTCTAAAAATGTAAACTGAGCATTGCTTTAAATTATTATTATTATTTTTTTTTTACGGTGGCCCTGAAGTGCAAACCACATCAACAAATCTTTAAACACAACTACAGATTAGAAAACGCAACAACATATTCAGTGATTTGAAGTATTTTCAGGACAAACGATCATGCAAAAAACACCCAATCTCACATCCTTCCAAAATATATTAAGGCACAAATTACTTAACAGTTTAGGGGTAAAATCACCTGCATCAGACAACAAAAGAAGATTTCTTCAATTTGGTAACTTATGGGCAAAAGCAACTGAATCTCTTGCAAAAACATAAACTTAGAGTTCACAACTTATATTGAGACAGCTTATGTTCCAGAGTAACTATTCATTGTACAAGTTACTGTATGTTTAACTTGTACAATGAATGTTTAAATGTTTTTCAGTGTAGATCGATGTAGATGGACTCTGAAAGTGTGATTTTGTTTTCTTGAAAGGTTTTAAATTATGCTTTTTTTGTTTATTTTACATAAATATCAACATCCCGTAGAAATAGATGTAACCAACATTTTTTTTTTTTTTTGCAAATGTTGAAAGTTTTTCTTTATTTTAAAACCTGGAAATAGAAAAATAATTGAGGTTCTTTCAAAAAAAAAATTAGCTGGACAGATAAAAAATGGCGTTGATTAAAAATTATTTTCTTGTGATTTAGATGAGTCTCATTGAGAATCAGTGTTATTTTTTTAAGATTATTTTTTGGCTCAAGTGGCCTTTTTCTAATTGATCTTGAAAGCAGTCAGACATGAAATGGGATAAGAGGGGGCAGGGAGTCAGCCGGGGACAGAGTGACCTCACCCGACCTGGGCACTCACACCGGAGCTCACAGCTATGTGTGAGTGCCCGGTGTGTTTCGAGTACGTGCTGCACTGTAGTCGACCAAAATCCCGAATGAGTTTAAAATTTCCCCAGGACATTTCTTTAGATATGAAAAGTAGGACATCTCCGGGAAAAAGAGGATGTCTGGTCACTGTTAGCTTCAAAAAATTGTGAGTTCAGATAGGACAAAAAATTAATCTGACACACCAAGGGATTTTCAAACACAGCTTCCTGCAGGAGGAGAAAGGCTGCCTGCTCACATTTCAGCACCTTTCTCCCCCCCACCAGAACAGCAGAGTCTTTTATTAACAGATCATAAGCAAATGGGTGGTCTTAGGACAGAAGACCCTGTAATGATTATCTAGCTGGATGCAGGTCCTAAAACAGCATGAGTCTGCTTTATGACCAACTGGCTGGAGGCAGGTCATAGAGTGAAATGATCCTGAAATGACCCTGTAAAGTCTAACTGGCTGGAAGCAGGACTTCAATGTTTCATATGCACACACATTAACTTTATAATCATCGTTGAATAAACCTAACAGTCACCCTACCATATCAACAATTTGATGTTTCAGTGAGTGAGTGCTTGTTGCTATGATGCATCTTTGATCAGCAGCTTTGCTCGTTGTAAACCAACCAATCAGTGCACAGCTCATTTGAGCATACAATAAAAGTAAGAAAA